AGCCCAGCAGGTCGAGGTTGCAGTGGCTGGGAGTGGCCACTGCACTCCAGTCTGGGTGACAGAGTGACTCCAACTCAAAAAAAAATAAAGAAAGAAAAAGAAAAGAAAGAAAATATTTACCATCTGATGCTTTGAAGAAAAAATCTTCTGGTCTCTGACACAGACTCTAGAGTCAAATTACCTAACTCCAAATTCTAGATCTAGGACTTACTAGCTGTTTAGACAAATTATCTCCCTGCTCTCTGTCTCCATTTCCGCATCTTTAAAATGGGCATGATATTCCTTATTTCAACATATGTTTGTGAGGATTAGATGATTTTTTTTTTTTTTTTTTTTTTTTTTTTGAGTTGGAGTCTCACTCTGTCGCCCAGACTGTCACCCAGACTGAAGTGCAGTGGCCGCTGCCGGCCACCACAGCCTCGACCTGCTGGGCTCCGGCGATCCTTCCGCCTCAGCCTTCTGAGTAGCCAGAATTACAGGCGCATGCTACCACGCCCGGCTGATTTTTTGATTTATTGTAGAGATGAGGTCTCGCTGCCCAGGCGGGTCTCGAACCCACGGCTCAAACAATCCACTCACCTCAGCCTCCTAAAGGGGTTGCATGTTTTCTACCAGCTGAGGTAAAGTGGTAGAAAAACCTGCAGAGGGTTTATAAGCAACACAATCCTATCCTTACTTGCATCTTTTGTCAGTTCTACTTTTTCTGCCTACTTTCTTTAAGAAAAGAAAACTTTTCAGGGTCTGAACTCTTAGAGAACCAATTTCCAAGGGCTGCGTATCCAAAATGAAGTATTTATGACTGCAAATGATGTGGTGTGCTGAAAAAACATCAGACTTCAATGTTAGTACATTGGAAATGGGATTAATTAAGCACCCTGGCATGGAGACTATTGCTTTTAATTATATATTGATCATCACTTGTTTTAAATCCAGATCACTGGAAAGGCTTAACTACTTTGAGCCATTTTAATATTCACTGAAAATGTTAAGTACACTTGTAAAGTTATAGAAGTAACTGGGATTTGGTAAGAAAAATTAATTTTTATTCACTTAAGTTAAAAACTTCATTATATTTTCTACTTTGTGTGATTAAATGAAACAAAATATGGTAATGTGCTTAAAATTGAGCTTACATCAACATCTCAAAAGTGGGAGTGTGGGACGAGGAGCAGGGATGAAACATCACCCATCAGGTACAATGTACGCACACAGATAGGCGGTGTGGGTACATCTAAAGATGAGCTTCTTCACCACTATACAATGTATCTATGTGACCAAAAATCATTTGTACTCCTCTAAAGCTACTGAAAATTAAAAAAAAATTGAACATAAAAATTGAACATAAAATATCGTTTTCCCCCTTTCTGATTCTACTAAAAACAATACATCTTCAAACTCTCCAGAAAAATATATAAAGGAGAAAACGTACCTAGCAGTGTCTGACAAAAGTGAATAACTCAAACTTATGTTGGAAATATATATATATATATATATATATATATATAAATTCTATCATGCCCTCTTGAATTCTCTTCACCTAAAATCTTCACACTCCCAAATTGTGAAGATCTTAACTGTGAGCTAAAAGTTTGCACCCTTTATAAGTTCATGATGCTAACAGATAGTGGCCACAATAATTTTTTTAAAACTCAACACTTCTCCCTCCATTATAGCATAATTCTCATTCTTTGAGACTCATGACCTCACAAGCGCACAGCCATGCATGCACGTACACACGCACAAATCACGTAAGAGAGAAGGGCAAACCTTTCTGAGAACAGTAGCATTGCCATGCTCTAGCAAGGAGTTTATATGCTTTGATGAATATATGTAACCACAAACCCTTAGTAATTTTAAACTGACGTACAAATTAGAGGATAAAACAATTATCTACATTTGTCCTCTGTGAACAGTTATGCTCGATGCTTTAGGGATATCTTCTATTTATCTCTCTCAGTGGTAAACTTGTGAGAATTATCCCAATGATGATCTCAACTGAATTTTCCACTTGATTGTTCATTTTTTCATGTCAGTTCTTTCTGGAGATTTAAAGTGAGGAACACTGAGTCACATATCCATTTCACACACACATGCATGTATATGAGAAGGACAATTGCAATGTGTTTCACTTTACTATAATTTGTGTGCATTTGCTTATGCTGGCACTCCAATAATGCAAAAAAAAAGCCCAATACTTTTAAATATTTTATTGACAATATTAGTATATAGTGTTAAGCTATTTTTAGGCAGACAGAAAAAGTGGATATGAATTAAATCGTGATATCTAATGTACTATCAGTGTTAAAATGACTTAATGCTGTACAGTCTTTTTGTTTAAAATTTGCGATGGTCCTGGAATTATCTGCCTTCCCTTCATAAACACATCACTTGACATTATATGGCATAGTACTAATATAAAGAAAAATTTTCATTTAGCAGTTTCCTTTGAAACATGTTAAAAATGGAAATATGACATTTTCATCTGTGACATCAACAGGACCCAAACTGCATCTATGGGAATGGTAAATATTCTGATTTATCTCCATAGCCAGCTGTTTAAATATTTCCAGCTCAGCCTTAAAGATTCATGTCAATGATGAGTCATTCCAGTAGGAGAATTGTTTTAAAAAGTAATGAAACAAAATATTTCTTGTAGTAAACAATTTTATTTATGGTGGAATTTCCAAAATTTCTTATATCTTGAAATTATCCACAAAGTCGTATTTTGTGCTTACATTTAAAAGATTCATTTCTTATAAGAAAAAATAAAAATATATACCATAAAGCAGTACTGTTATATTTTTATTTAATATGATATAACGAAAGGATTAAAGAGAAAGCAAAAGTTAAATATATTTAAAATTCCTTTTAAGTGATTCCCAGCTATTTTACTGTCTTAAAGAAAAAAATAATAAAGATCTAAACACCACAGATAATATTTTGATGAGTCATATTTATAAAAATATATATATATATAAGTTAAGCATTGCAACAAACTACCTTCAATGATTTTCCTATAGAAATAATATTATCGGAACTATGTATCTAAAGCAAAGAAGAATAAAGGAGAAAGTATTAATTGCAATAGTGACTTTTTAGTTAAATACACATTCTTATAAAGTGGCAAGATAACATTTACAAATTTACAACTGAAAAGAAATCTTTATATACAGGTTGTTTTGGTTTTGGATTTTGAGAGCCTTCTTCTTCCTGTGTAATAGGCCCTCCTGGTGGAAGTGATCTGGACTAAGTAATTAGTTCATAGTACATGATAGATAAGCCTGGAACTAGAGGCCCCTGGAGTTGCAGGCTGTGAATCAGTGCTGGTAACTGGGGAGAGAGAGGCCGGGTCCTGGAGAGGTAACCCAGGTTGCTCTGAGGAGGTGATCCGGTCCACTATGCTGGATAGGCAATCCAAGCTGGACAAGGAGCTTTTATCTGTGGCATATACTAAAGATACAAGGAGAAAAGCATTTAAAAAAATTATCTCTGGATAGACAGACTTGCTTCGGTTGCCCCTTAAACTAGGTCAGCTCCTCTGACACCCAGAGGTCAGGTGGTCACAGAAAGCCTAAGGTAGAAATTTGCAACAAATAGCTGGCAATTCTTAGGGGTGGAGGTGGAAGATGGGGGGAAGTCCCATGGTAATATTGCACGCAAAATTGTGTGCATGTATGTGTCTGTCTGGGGGATTTGTTTATTTTGCTCTGCCAAATCCTTCCCATAAGAACCGTCACTTCCATTCCCTTTCCCGATACTACCTGGAAGAACAGACTCTGCTTTGATAGGTTGAGAAGGTCTTTAAACTCCTCTGAAATGATCAATTCTTACCATTTGGTACATCAGGACAGTAGACGCTGTCAAAACTACTGCTTTTTCTGGACCATATGGGACTGTTACATTCAGGCTACAATACAAGAAACAAAAGTAGTTTATTTTTAGGTCTTGGCAAAAGATGTTCTGTTCTAAAGTGAGGCAGTCCTTGCCCACCAGCTCCATAAACTGACCACTCTCAATCATCTTCGTTGCCTTAATTTAGGAAGGGTTCGCCCTCTCCAAATTCCCAGGGCACCGAGGTCAGTCTGTGCTTGAAGAAGGGGAGTGCTGTAGCAAAGGCAAGAGGGGGTGGAATTCAGCAGCAATGTGCATTGGGTTAACCATGCAAAATGGATTGGAGTAGAAGGAAGCCACACTAATTCGGGAAAGAACACTTTCCCAGGGCGAAAACACATTAAAACCTGGCAGCGTGGGAGCAAACGCCCTCTAAAAAGAATGCATCAACATTTTCTTTCAGCCAGGCCTCAGCACAGCAGGAACTAGACGCTTTAATGCAGGTATTTCTTTCCATTTGTTCATTAAGTCATAAAGGGTGCTTATAGATATTAGCACATGTCAAAATCCACCAGCAGTTGTGTTGAAAATAAACTGAGTATTGGAGAAAACATCAGATTGATTATCCAGTAGCCACCCACCTCATATGACGACCCTCTACTATGAGGTACACCTACAACCTGGTAGGAAATCAGACTAAGATCTTGTACAGCAGACATCTGTTTTCTGGAATCTTTGAGGGTGAGCACCTCTCTTAAAGCAACTCAACAACTACTTCCAGTCCACTCCTCCCACTACACCTGGCTTAAACGAGGTGTAGAGGTTTTAAGGGCAGGCGGGGGTGGCCTAGTGGGTACCAGAGGTGATCCTTACCATGCCATCGGAACAGCTGGAGGTGGGGCTGGTGGGCTCGGAGCAGCTCTGTCCCGGCAGGCTGTAGTAGTTCTCCACCTGCTCCCTCAGCAGCTCCTGCAGGCTCTCGATGTAGCGGATGGCGTTCCTGAGAATCTCCACCTTAGGCAGCCTCTGATTGGGGTTGGTCGTGGTGCACCTCTTGAGTGTCTCGAAAGCCTGGTTGACCTTCTTCAGGCGCCTCCGCTCGCGCATGGTGGCCGCCTTCCGCCGATCCATGGTGGTGGACTTCCTCTTGCACGCTTTGCAGGCCCACATGAGGCAGTGGCCAGCCTGGTGGTGGCCGGTAGGGGCTCGCACGTGCTCGTCCTCGTCGGAGCCCTGCAGCTCGGCTTTGTGCGCCCCGAAGGCAGCCACCCGGGGCTCGAACTCGTCCCCGAAGTCCCCCTCGGGGGACGGGATGCAGGAGCCGTCGTAAAAGTACTCAGAAGGTGAGAACTGGCAGCCGTCCATCATGTCCATCCTGCGGAGACGGCAGGCGGCGCACCTGGACGGCAGCGAGAGGGATGGGGAGACGCGCGAGCCTGGCGCCGCAGCTGGGGCAGACCCCCGGGCGCAGCTCCCTGGCCGCTTTCTGCGGTAATTAACAAGGGCAGACGCCTGCCGGCCTGGGTCGGCAAGCTGCGTTGGGGCTCCTTATATATCCTTGGGGGAGGGAGGCCGGCCCCAGTGGCCGGGCACTATTAGCATATCCCACCGCAAGCCCCGCGGGGGCTGTCTGGGCGAACCTTCGCCTTTCTCTAGAGACAATTTGCTGTTTACTGGCCCTTTTGACGCTAATGGTTTTACTGCATTGCTGGGATGGGGGATGGCTCCCCCAACTTGCTCACTTGCACTCTCGAGATAACCTAAACCGAGGGCTCATTTAAGTGCTACAAACGAAAGGAAAGAGGAGAGTCCAGCTTTTTTCCAACTGCTCACACATTTAATAAATAATAAGAAGAAATGATATTAAGAATAATAGAACTTCCTTTCAGCTGATACCAAGAGCCGACTTGCCCTTCCAATCCTGAGCCATGAGAAGTCACCTGATGAGTAAGGTGTTCCTTTCTCTTTTTCATGGACTTTAGTTATCTCAGGAATTTTTTTTTTCAGCCAGTGGACAGAATTAAAGGTTGCTGCTAAAAACTTGTAAAGTGGCACTTTCACTTAGGGGGTGAATCTAGAGTTTGTCTATTTATATATAGATTGAGATGAGTTAAAAGTCTGATCAGCTTGCCATTTATTTATTACAGGTTCCACATTATTGAGAGTAGGAGGAGAAATTCCTTTTTCCAAGACAGAGCTCTTTCTGAGTTCTGCCTATGTGTCTGTCCATCAAAAAGGAGGCAGGCACAGGAGGGGCAGGTGGCCGAGAATATTCCTCCCTCCCTTCCTTCCTTGCTGCCTTCCTTTTCCCCTTCTGCACAATTTAGCTGAGTGCTTTCTCCTCTGTGCCAGGCCTTCCCTAGACCCTGAGCAGGCCAAAGCCCTACACTGAAAGCTTCTCTAAGATTTGCAATCGAAGCAGCCCAGTTTTAGATGGCAAATTCCTTTTCCAAGGGCGCCTCTCCTTTATTCCTTTCTGCTTTGCCTTGTCATTTCTACAGACTAAACAGCCAAGCTGGGCTTTAGGGTTGCTAATTTTCTGCTTTCAGGCAAACTAACACCGTTACAGATGCGTCCCAGCTGCCGCCACAGCAATCCTCTGCTCCTGTAAAATTTCCAACTCCTCAAACTGGGAGTAACTTCACACACATCAGTGACAAAAGCCTTCTAAAAAAGCAATCACAGCAGGATCTTTGGAACTTTGTTGAGTAGAAGGTGGAAAGGAAGTGTTGCCAGTTAAGTGAGAATTCATCTATTAATCAGTTTTCACTAATCTTCTTCCACCTTTCTTAACCCACTTTCAGATCACTTGGGGTGCAGAGGTCCCATTCATATTCAGGAAAAGTAATTACTACAGGGCTACACAGTTCATCTGGGTTTTGGACCAGGACTTGTGGTTCCATTAAAAGAAAAGGTTAACCAGTCCAATAATTGTTGTGGCTCCAGTTATTGGGAGGGGGGAGAGAGCTTTCCGGTGTATTATTTTTACTAACATTTTTGGGGTGAGATCTTCTCTCTGAAACCAAGGCCCCGGAAACCAGGGATGGGAGGGTGACGCTCTCAATCACTAAGGTTTACTGGCTATGCCCTTCAGTGTCTCCTCTCCTCTGTCCCATCTTCCCTAAGACAAAGATCTGTCTTGAAAATCAGGCTTCCTCTCACACCAATGCGCAGCTTAATCATCTGACCAGTGGGAAATCCATCTGCACCTTTTTTTTTAGGTCTGTTAACAAGTCTATGCCTTTGAAATGAATACGGTACCCAGGGCTACACCAGATAAAAGAGTCAAGTTCCTGAAGGATCCAGGTGGAATCCAAGACTCTGCCCATGCTGGTGGAAACGTTCGATTGCACAGTGCATTGCTACCTCTGAAATACAATAGTGGGTAGGCATTCTTCCCCCAGGAATTTTCAGCAAGGAGTCCCTAGATTCTGTCAGCAGCCTTATGACCCCCCCCCCACTTTTTTTTTGGCTGTGGAGTCCACACATAAGCACAGACTTGTGATCTGAACACAAATAAACCTGTCTTTAAAGTTTAAGTGAAAGATAGAAGTTACAAGTTTTGCTTGCCTTTCAGTTAATTTCTGAAATTACTTAATGTGCTTTGTGCCCCATCCCTGAGAGTGAGATATTTTTAGCTAACAATTATTGAGTATTTTGTATTTGTGGAGCACTATTCTGAAAAGAAATCATTATATATTTAAAAGATACCTGCACTAGTGTGTTCATTATACATTAATTTAACAATACTCCCTACAACCCTGTGGGACCTATTATTGAAGCCAATGTAAAAAGAAAACAAAATCAAGCTGGAGGGGCTACATCATTTGCCCCAAGGTCACACAGGATTGGAAACAGGCATCCATCCTTAGAACTCACACTGGAGGTGATTTTGTTTGTTTTCTCCTTCAGTCAATTCGGCCTCAGTGGCTTCCTCAGCTGCTGAAGCAGAAACTGGCAAGAGCTGGCTCCTGCACATCTTTCCCTGGTCTGAGAAGATGCTGTCACTCAGGAGCCTCTGTCAGTAATGGTAGTTCGGTAGTTCGCAGAGGTTAGGGCTGTCTTTGGTAAGGTGATCTCAAAACAAATTTACCAGAGTGCCGCGGGCGACTGGAACTAAAGCCGAGAAAACACAAGCGCCTGCGGCTTAATAGGACTTGCTAGGGGGAAACAGGGTCCCGAGTTGAGGGCCTTTGGGACGAAAGTGCTGAAAATAGGATCTCAGAGCACTAAAGGGTGCAGAGAGAGAGAGAGAGAGAGAGAGAGAGACAGAGAGAGCAAGAGACAGAGAGAGAAAGAATGCAAAGAAGTTAACAAAGTAACAAAGATGACTGGAATCCCCCATTCAGGAAAGGTTCTCCTGCTCTTTCCCCATTTGGAAAACAAATGTTAAAGAGACTAAGTTACCGCCAGAGGAAATGCTGAAAGAGAAAAATGAGGAACTGGAAGAGCGATATAGAAAAAAATAAATTTTTTGAGTGGAGAAATTTAACAGGGCAGCATGGGAAAACATTAAAAAGTTGCTTTTAAAAAGGTCTACTAGCTATTAGGGTGCCCTTTTCTACTCAAATCAGACTAGATTAGCTTTTGCTTCTCACTGAAAAAATTAGAATATGTTTTCCACTATTTCTGCAGAGAACTGAATTTCTTACATGCAGAAAAAACTCACATTTATTTAATAGGTAGAAATGATATTCCAACTTTGTCTGCTGGGAGAGTCTCCAGCAAGGAAATGGGGAAAACAAAACTCAACTACGCTTGGTGCTATAAATGAATACTCACCAAGTTTCTGGTGAGGTAGATCATTTATTTATTTATATTTTTATTACATTCCAAATATAAATGCACATTTGATTTTCTTACAATTTAGACTTATAAACAGATTTTAATTGCTATGACCTTTACATAACATCAACTTTATCTTTTTTTTTTTTCCTGAATCTATTTTAGTTTAAGCATTGTGGCAATAAACTAGTATTAACAGACCACACCAACAAAATTATGCTTACAACTTCCTTTCCTAATAAATTTTGCCTACCCTGGGAATCCTGCATTATTGAAGATTCTCCATGCTTCTATTTGAGGGAGAAATCAAATGCATATAGAAAGATAAATCCATTTTAATTCACTTCCACCCCTACCTGAAGGTCCTTATCAACTTCTGGACAAAAGGAGTTGCTCCTGATATTTTTGCTTATTGTATAGATGACTTCACAATGTGCGAAACAATTTCAAACTGCTATTAGCTCTGAAAATCAGGCACACCTAAGTAAACACATTAGTACCTGCCAGAGCTGCTAGAAGAATTTGTGGAGAAGACAGCTGAGGAAGACATTGGCCTCTGCTTGAATTAGAAGACTTCCAGGAGAGATCAAAGACCTAAGATCGGACATTTAGCAGCCTAGAGAGTGGAGAAAGTAGCCAGTTCTTACAGCGTGATCTTTGTTCCAGCACATGGCATAGCCATTCTGTCTCACACATTGACTTAGAACTAGGCTTGCAGAAAATTGCTTTTTTTCAGAATAAAACCTCTAAGACAGGGGATCATCTTTAATACATTTAATTAGTTGAAGGGAGTCACTGGAGGGGCCTCCTGGAGAAATCTTGGTGGCTTGGCTTTCTAGGAAAATATCCAGGTTATACTAATGTTACTAATTTATATTTGTATTAACCATGTTATTATTAATTTATCAGTGCATTGGATTCAGCCATGAGATAGTTAAAGTTTAAGCAGAAACATTAGAAAAAAGTCAGATATAGTGTTGTGGGAGAGTGGTTTTGAAACAAAGAAACAGGATAAAATATAACTAGAAGAAAAATACAAATGGGTAAATTCTTCTAACTTTAGTTTAAAAATGTCTTAGGGAGAGGTCACTTTTATCATCCCAAGATTTATCTGCCAGTCTCAAGAGTAGTTGGAAACAAGGAATTTCAGCACTCCCTCCATTCCCAAAACATATCAAAGAGTTCATTTTTTTAAAAAGGGAGAGATTGGCTGGGTGTGATGATTCACAACTATAATCCTAGCACTTTGGTAGGCCAAGGCAGGAGGACTGGTTGAACCCAGAAGTTCAAGATCAGCCTGGGCAATGTAGCAAGATTGCGTTTGTAAACAAAAAAAGAAAAAGAGAGAGAGAGAGAGAGAGAGAGAGAGAGAGAAGTCAGGCGTGGTGGCACATGCCTATTGTTCCAACTTCTCAGGAGGCAGAGGTGGGAGGATTGCCTGAGCCCAGGAGGTTGAGGCTGTGGTGAGCATGATCATGCCACTGTACTCCAGCCTGGACAACGGAGTGAGAACCCCCAGAATATAAAATAAAATAAGTGAGACTATAAGTGGGTTTCCACAATTTACAGGTTTAGAATTCAATGATCCAGGGATGATAAAGTTAGTTGGAAAATCTGACAATGGATGTTCCACAAAGTATTTTTCAAGTAATACAACAAAGAAAATCACTCATTATTTTGTATTTGATAACTTTACACCTGCCCTGGAAACAGGCTCAAATTCAGTATCAAATTGCTTATCTTTACCATGTTATTATGTCTTGATTTTCTGCTTCCACAGCCCTGTTTGTTTTGGCTTTGGCCTTGGTAAAGATTATCATCATTAATATCAAACAAAAACATTTTAATTGCAAACACACCAAGGATTTCATTGGAAAGCCTACCATGTCAGCTATAGCAGTGGAGGTCACATCAAGTCTTTGGGAAATATTTGCTCTATTTAATGAAGAGACTTCTGTAAGAAAACTTACTCCAAACAATTTCTCAAATTACTCAGCTAAGAGAGATACAGAGGATTTGGCTTGCAAAGACTGAATAAAATCCATCAACAAGTAAAGTCCATGAATTGATAAAAAGCAGTCTGCTGCTGAGCAGTATATAACAAAAGTTATTATAAATATATGTTTAACCATAAAGTAAGTGAGTTCACCTAATCACATTATTTAATTTCAGGTGTGTAATACATCTGATTTTTTTTTAAAGATATGTGCATATATACATTTTACAGCAAATCTCTGTTGATTCTCAGAGAAAAGAAATTATGAATATACAATAAGCATAATTAATGCATATACATGCCACCCAGACATACTCACACATATTCTGGTTGAAAAAATTGAAATGATTTACTAGTTATTTTTTGCTCTAATTTGGAGTTCACTAGCTAGTGACTTTTGAGAAAGAGCTTTTGGAAAACAAATGTTAAAGAGAGCCAAGTTATCCTACAAACCATAAAAGGCTCTTATTAGTTTCCCAAGGCAAGTTGAACCTGGAGGCATGAGCCTATACTTCCAGCTACTCAGAAGGCTGAGGTGGGAGAATTGCTTGAGCCTAGGAGTTTGAGCCCAGGCTAGGCGATATGAGAGAGAGAGAGAAGAGAAGAGAGAGAAGAGAAAGAGAGAGAAAAGAGAGGAGAGAAGAGAGAGGGGGAGAGAGAGAGAGAAGAAAGCAACAAATTGCCAATTTCCCAAGGCTTCTCTTTCAGAGTGCATGTGGTTAATAGCATAGGCATGAATGCATTGATAATTGCCTGGCTTTGAATCCTGGCTCTAAACAGTACCCACCAGATGCAAGAACCTCTCTGTTCCAAAGGATCTTTTTCTCCAAAGTGGAAGTGATGACAGTATCGTTCTTATGGGTTGTTGTAGGATTATGAGTTAATATGTGAAATTCTAAGAATGGTTCATTTACGTTGCTTTTGTTCTCATTGTTATCAATACATTCCCTAGCCAGAGCCAGCAAAGGCTGAAGAAACTGTGGTTTGGGGTGCAAGTAAAATGCCTTGATTTCAACTTACCAATGGCAAAGAGAGCTGATATCTAGTGTTGTACTTTGTGCCTTGTTATCTTCACAGCCTCAGGAGTTAGGCACTATTATTTTCCTCCGCATTGTTTTACAAATAAGGAAACAGGATTTAGAAGAAGCAGTGACTAGCCCAAGTCCAAACAGTAACAGCCTGGATTCAATCTAGGTAGTCATCCATTAAACCTCCTGCCTCCTTCTCTCAAACCTTTAAAAGGGATTGTATGTCAGCATAAGTTTCCTCTGTGAACCTTCCTGCATTTTAAAAATACTTTAGAAGAAACTCTAAAGTACTGACACATACTCAGGAAGATGAAAAGGGGGCAAGAGACAGCTCCATACCTGAGGGGGCGCTGTCTCTGGTAATACCTGAAACTTCCATAGTGCCCAAAAGAAAGGTCCACGTTTTGGAGGATTAGGAGGCAAAGTTGGGCTGGGAGATGCTGATTTCAATTTGATTTTACACATGTGAACTGAAGACTAACTGTGGGGGAAAGATAGGCTTTAATGGGTGACAGCAAGGAGTGCAAGTATCATTTACAGGACGGTAAGAGTGAAGTGGCAGTTCACGAGAAATAGCTTGCTCCTCCCCTGGGCTTCACTTTCCACAGCGTTTCTAGGTGGTCGTTTCTTCCTGAGGTTACAGGATAAACAAACCTGGCACACGTTGTAAAATCCTCACGGTGAGGAGCTCCTGGGGCTTCCAGTCTCTCTGGGGCTTTGCTGTTTGGCCCTGCTAAGAGGTTTCATGTGTGTTGTTGTTGTCTTTTGCCCTCAACCAGTTAACCCTTCCCTCTCTTGAAGCTACCCTCTCTTCAAAGAATCCCACCCCACCTCAAGAGACAGATTGCTCCCTTCTTTTATCTTTCTATTTGGAAAACAAACCGAAGCCAAAGGAGGCCTTGAGGATATTCTAGTCCACTAGTGACCAGTCTAGTTCAAGAAAACTAAGGAGGGGGCCAGACATCTGGCCCTGAGACCAGTGCAGCCCCTGCCTCGCCAAATCAGCTTAAGATCTTTTAGGGAAATCACAAAGAATGTTTGCTTGGTAATTGCTTGCAACAAGATTTTACTAGATGGAAAATTCGATTGGCAACTTTGGGTACATAATTCTCACCCAGATCTCCAGGGATAAGACCATACAAACCGTAAGAAAAAGAGGCAATAAATGGAAGAAGGACACATTCCTTTTTGATATTCTTCACTTTCAATCACAAGTATGAGTTCTACGTGAGACAGAAATGCATCCAACTTAATTCAGACATGGGAAAACAATTTTCCTGCCTTTTACTCAGCCTTAAAGACAACACTCAGAATAAATGGGCTTGTGTGGTATCTAAATTAACCACACAATGTTTCTTTCCTAATCTTTTGCGGCCTTGATTTTCCCTCCAGCTTGAGGGTGCGGATTTGGCTCTTTGTCTTTGTAGCCATGCCCTCGAATATATTTTTTTCCAGTTCAATCAGATTGGGACCAACTTTGTTCATACAGAAACTTATTTTAATATTACAATACCAGGATCCTCGCACATTTTATATGTATCATTCCACATTTAAAATAGATTTATTAGGTTTACATAAAAAAATGAAAGTTCTAATCCTATTTACAAAAATACATTAAATATTACTAACATTAAAATGCAACGTTCCCACTGGCTTTAGACAGGAATGGACTTATTTTGAGGATGGCACAAAAGGATCACCGTAATAAAAGTTAATGTATTACAAAACCAAACAAACAGTAACAAAATAAGGGCGCTAGACCTAAGCCACTCGCGGTTCCAAAAAAATAAAAGCCCAAAGCCGAAAGCCTTTTTTGTTTGTTTCCTTTGAGAGTGCGCAACTGTCTGCAAAGTTTCTTTGTGAATCTAACTCCTTCCCTCTCATAAACCCCTGGGTCTGGGTTCCTAAATATTAATGTAATGTGACCTAATGTAAAGGATTAGGCCAAGGAGTGTGGGCGGGGCCTTCCTGCTGCGTGGAGCGTGTCCCCAGTTCCTGCGGCCGGGAGTTACTTCTCCACCACCTCCTCCACGCAGGGGAGCTTGCGTTCCTCCGAGGAAATACTGTCCACGATGGAAGAAAGGCATCGCAGGCTGCTCGAGGCCGACGAATCCAGGCTTGCTCCTCCTGAGTGCAAAACCAACACACACGCACACCTATAGCAGCCCAGGAAGGCAAGCGCCCCGCGCGAGGCCGCACTGGCGGCGCGGGAGAACCGGGCCCGCGCGCCGAGGGACCCCCTCTTGCAGGGCGCGTCCCCACTCGCGCTTCGAGGACTTTTCGGCCCGGAACGAGCCCCCAGCTCCCTCCCGGATTTTTTTTTTTTTTTTTTTTTTCTCCTGGTGCAGCCCTTTCTTTTACTTTACCTTCCTTAGCCGTGATCACGAGCCCCCTGGAATGATCCGAAACACTTGGCCACTGGGAGCTGCAGGTGCGCAGGAAATCCGCACCCTCAAGCTGGAGGGAAAACCAAGGCAGCAGCAGATTAGGAAAGAAACATCGGTTCCGGGGGGAGGGGGGCTGGGATAGGGTCGGGGGTGCGGCATTCCTGCTTCCTCTGGCCGGGTACGCATTTCCTGCCTATTGCAGGCACCCGGTCTTCTTGGGTCACTGGGGGTTCATTAGAGAAGGAGCGGGGGCGGGGGCCAGAAACGGGGAAGGGAAATAAGACCCAGCAGCTGGAGGTTAAGGCCCCGAGGAAGCCATTTAATCAGCCTTTGCATTTCCCTGGCTCGGCGGCTTCGAGGCTTACGTTTTCTTGCTTGGGTCTGTTGTAGCTGAAGGGGTCCACCCCTAGCTCCTGCATTTTCTCCTGCTGATCCAGGCGGTGCAGCAGGTCTTGCAGCTGCTCGATGTAGCTGATGGCGCTCCGCAGAATCTCCACCTTGGGCAGCCTCTGGTTGGGGTTGGCCACAGTCCGCCGCTTCAGTGCCTCGAAGGCCTCGTTGATCTTCTTTAGTCTCCTCCTCTCGCGCAGGGTGGCGGCCTTTCGCCGGTCGGTGGGGGCAGATTTTCTTTTGCAGGTCTTGCAAGCCCAGATCAGACATTGGCCCGGGCAGTGGGGAGGCTGCAGGCCCGGGGGCGCCAGGACATGTTCTTCTCCGCTGCTGTCGCTCCCGGCTTCCGGGGGCATTTGGTCCTGGCAGGGGGACAAGGTACCATCACTCCCTGGATACAAGGGAGAGCCCTCAGCCACTTCCAACGGCTGCAGAGTAACATTTTCCCCATCCAGGTAGAAGAAATAGGAGCCAGTTTCAAAAAGGTCCATCATCATGTTTTCCTCCTTGGCCTCTGACTTGATCTGAACTGGGTGATGGACTCAAAAACCCAGAGGAACCACCCAGATGGCATTTAATTAGTGCGCTGACATAAGTCAACCCAGCTTTATATATAGTAGCTCCTGAAACTCAATCCAACTTTTAGCTGTCATGGAGCATCAGTCTCCCAATGTGATTGCCCCAAGTGCTCTCTAGAACATCTAGTTGGGAAGAAAACTGAGAAGTGTCACCTCTCAGAGTGTTGTGGCAATCTGTATGCAGAGCAGGTCAAAACAGAACGCACAGAGAGAATCACATATTTAAACAAAGCATTGAACGCTTCCATTTCAGCCAGTTTAGTTACTAACCTGCTTACAGGACAACTTCAAAACAACTGGGGATTAACACTACCCCATTCCCCTCCCCCTGCGTTCATCTGAATTCTAAGTATAGACCCATGATGAAACATTTCAAAGGCAATCGCCATTGCTCCAAAATAGCCTGGTTAATATTTGCAGAGTGGTTCAGCTCCTTACTCTCTTCTGCCTCTCAAAAAAGATACTATTCCTGTGATTAAAACCATTACAGTCCTTCAAAGGTTATACATGACTTTCAGCCTCAATAGAAGCAGGTAAATCTCTTTCCTCTCTTTTACTAAGGCTGGTAGATGATTTGGGAGCTGGAGGGGGTGGCTGAAGGGTACTCACATCCCATGTTACTGTATGAAATGACTCTCTGGATCCTTCCATAGAAACCTTCCTTGGCTATCTTTTTTTGGGGGGGAGGGGCAACCAAGATCTGTGTTCTGCACCCTTCCATTGTGGAGCAGTAGCACATATGAGGTAAGGAGTGGGATAGAGGACGGGGTTGCAATACATGTAATAACTCCTCCTTCCAAATAGTTTTAGCAAAAACAGGATTCACACCACAGCTACTTGATAGTTCAGGATTCACTTGTGGCCTCCTCAGAGGTGCCTCTGTGATGACTCCTTTTCTACACACTGGATGCTCGCCACTGTGTCCTTTGCAATCTCACTATTCATTGACTCCAAATACATTTGATAGGTTTCAATTGAGAAGGGCCATATCCAAGGGCAAGCAAGGAAATATTTTTTATTGCGGCTTGCCCATGGTTCAATATACTCATGTACAATTCTTCCAGGGACAGTACAATACACAGGCGAAGTGCAGGGGCCCTGGACTCCAAAGGACTCTCTTCAAGTCCTTGCTAGGTTAATTTGCACCTGTGTGTCCATGAGTAAGTATTAGGTCTCAAGTTGTTCAAGATAATAGTGGTTGCCTTACAGAGTTTTGGGGAGGATTCAGTCAAATGAAACTATGCCTGGGAAGCGTATAGCTGTTTGATAAGTAAGATATCATTTATAGCATAAAGCTATGTTAGGGCCAAGACCAGTTCTCATGAAGAAAACAGTAGGTGTTGAAGAGGGGTTTTTTCCTCCCTCTCTTTTGTTGTCCTGTCCTTTTTTCCTTTCCTTTCAGCTTTTTTGTCCCTCCTCTCCTAGAGTTCTGGAAACCTCCCTAGCTAGAAGTGATGACAGTCAACCCTGGCTTTTGCCTTTATAGTCAGTGCCTGTAAAACTAGATGAAAAGGTACTATTACCCTACCCCAAGCAGTGATGATTATAGGCTATGTTCTTTATGACTTCATATTTTTAAAATGAGAAAAGTGAAGATAATGTAGAGAATCAATAATGTAGGAACTCGCTACATTGTTGACCCAAGTGGCTTATTCCAGAAAACAATTCTTCACAGTCTCTATTGAGCCACAGACTTGGGATGTTAAATTTTGTCATTTTTGACTGTTTCGTGTTTTGTTATTGTGCAACTGTGTAATTTCTTATCAGAACCATTCTTAGTTTTAGAGATGATAGGAAGCACAGAGAAGAACTACACAAACCAATATTTCTTTTGTGATATTTTCTTCTATTTCCACCAATCCCTTGGTTGCTAAAGTCAGCAATTAAGACTGCAGATTGAAGGCTTCAACAACTCAGGGTATAATCTAACATCTGTTATAGAAAATTATATTGTACTATAAACCACACTTAAGGCTGTCTCTTACAACTGTGAACAATTTAACAAGTTGTTTTTTAACCAGTAGAGCTATATATAACATTATTGGTCGAATCATTAAGATAACAAAGACTGACATTTATGTATTCAACATTTAATGGGTACCTATTCAGTGCCAGATATTGTCTGGATGCTAAGAATAAAGAAAAAAAAAAAGAAAGATTCTTCTTCTCATGAAGTTTGAATCTTGAGGGAAAGTTAAATTAACAAAGAGGCTAGAGAGAGAGAGAGAGAGAGAAAGAAAGAACCTTGAAATTGGGACATGGAATGCCTAGAGTACAGTCATTTGTGGCCTGTGAGGATTTGGTTAATTCTACTCTCTCAAACCCTCAAATGTTTTCATTTATAACATTGGTATGATACAAAAGATACCCATTCTTTCAAGGGATGACTTTTAAAAATGTGAAAGCACTTAAAAAATGTAGTATGCTCTATAAAAGTACTTTTATTATCAGAATTATTAGGTACAGAGAAAAATGTATCACTACCAAGAAACTTTGAAGCTTGGGTAACAGAAGTAACGTTGAGGGCACTTCCATTCTTAGATATCACCACTGATTTTAAAAAGTATCAGATAGATGTTAAGAATCTTCACATCATGAATCTGCTGAAGAATATGAAAGTGTGCTTTTACTCCTTTCTGTTTTCTTCATTAAAATGTTGACACCAGAGAAACAGCTGATTTAGAAATGTAAAAAGAGAAGATTCTGAAGAAAAGCAGAAACCGCTTTGGTGTGCTGATCAAGAGCAGCTTCCTAGGCAGGGGTGGCTTTATTGTGTGTAAAGTCAACCTTCACCTATTGAATTGTTCTTTACCAAAGTACAAAGCCCCTTTCCCAACATAATTTAGAACTCAGGCAGATAAAATGAGTGTCTGTGCTCATCATGGTTTATGCATGTCTTTCCCCTTTTGTTGTTGTTTTAGGGGTTGAGGCAGGAGGTGAGAAAAGAGAACAAGGAAATGCCAGCTTGGAAAATAATCATTCTTTATTAGATTAGGTCAATGGGAAAACACGCACTGATTCCAAACTACTAACTAGTGAACTCTTGGAACTGTAACTGTTTACAAAATATGAGATGCCTGTAATTGCAATTACTTTATTTCTCTGTAGAACGTGGGAGACACAGTCCATAACAAGTGATCAAAACAGGTTTACGTAAACAGAAATCCTCCAAGCTTTAAGTCATTTAAATTTTTTTAATTATAGAAAAAATATGTTAAATAAAGCAATAATTATATTATTAATAAAACACTTCAAAGGGCTAGAGTTCATTTATAGTAAAATCTTAGTGATTGAATTTAAACTTATATTATCATTAATAAAGCACTCCCAAGGGCTAGAGTTCATTTATAATAAAATCTTAGTGATCGAATTTAAAGTTTTCAAGTGGTGAACCATCCTATTATTCTTACTTCACACTTAATTATTTGTAAAGTATGTTTTTTCCATCATTTCCAAAAAGCTGCTTGTCTCCCAAGGAAGACAGGGCAGGAGTAGAAGAAAAAGATTATGGCTGACTCAGTCAACAGTGGATTCTGGGTATGAGCTTTTGGGAAGGTGGTAGATGTGGTGGAAACAGAACAGAGTTTTGGAGAAAGAGAATCTAATTTCTAGCCATTCTTAATTACATGTTCCAAGACCTAATTTTATAAAAGATCAAAGGGAATATATAATACACATACCATGGACTTGTTGTTAGCATGAAATAATATATGTTGAGCCCATGGTATGAAATATGCACTCAACAAATATTAATGTTCCTCCTCCTACTCAATTCATAAGACCTCTGATGGAAATAGCTATAGTGAATTCATTGAAAACCCTAGATTTTATGAGAAAAATGTTGAAGATAAATTTGGAGATGTATATACATTTATGGTACATATAATCGAAGTGAAAATATTAAAACTGACGACTCTAGTAATAATGTTTCATGCATGTATACCTCATTAAATGTCCAGTTTATTGAGGGACAAAGACACTAACTAAAAGCCATGCAAATGAATAACTGAGTTAGGAACTTTGAAGGAAAGGAATATGGTTCTATAAGAATGTAGACAGTGAGGAGTCTCTCCTGAAGCTGGAGAAAAGGTGGTTTGAGAAGAAAAGTTCTGAGATGTTAGGTTGGTATTTTTAAGGATCCAAGTTGTTTGTAAAATCTGTGTTTTGGGAAGGTGGTAACAGTAGGAGGAAGCCCAGGAGAGAAACAGACACAGAGACACAGATGAGTGTCAAAAACTGATGAAGAGATTTTTGTGAGTTATAACTATGGGATCTGGCTATATTGTTACATAGTTGGGGTTCAAAGAAAGTAGTTCAGTTATAGCTGGGACAGTAGAACTTAGGGCCAGAAGAAGATGGTTATACTTTTTCTGCTATGAAAAGGGAGAGAAGAGGCTGGGCTTGGTGGCTCAGCCTGTAATCCCGTGCTTTGGGAGGCTGAGGTGACTGGATTGCCTGAGCCTGCGAGTTCGAGAACCGCCTGGGCAACTTGGCAAGACCTCATCGCTACAATAAAATTAAAAAATTAGCCGGCCGTGGTAGCACGCACCTGTAGTTCCAGCTACTCGGAAGGCTGAGGTGGAAGGATCGCCGGAGCCCAGCAGATCGAGGCTGCTGTGGCCGGGAGCGGCCACTGCACTCCAGTCTGGGCGACAGAGTGAGACTCCAACTCAAAAAAAAAAAAAAGAAGAGAGAGAAGAAATAAAAGAGGATGAAAGAAAGGAGAGAGACAAAGAAGAAGAAAAAGAGGATGAACAGAACATAGAACCCACAGGGACAAGGGTCATCCAACAAGGACAGAGAGTGGCCCTAAAGAACGGAAGGTAAGAAAGGGCCCGCTGACCGAAAGGCAAAACCCAGAAGAGGCAGATTAGTGCTTTAAATTTGTGGCAGCTAAATGAGTAACATGAGCCCGTGCACCTGTAATTTACCTAATGTGCAGACAGTTTGTGCCCAGAGATTCCCGAACACTGTGGTAAAAATAGTTCTGCACTAAGACTGACAGGACATTTGAGTCACTTCTGAGAACGTGGGGGAGGGGCACAAGCCAAGCAGAGGAAAAGGAAAGAAATTAAAAGTGCATCCCGTCCCATCTCCAGATGGTGGCAATGAGAAGTTGTGTATAGAAATGAGGC